TTACCACACCCTCAATTATTAATATCACATTTTTTTTTTTATCTTAATTGATTACTATACCTTTTAATTTATTAAGAAACAAAAAAAAAAGTAATTTTTTGAGAAAAAGTGTGATGTAAGGGTATAATAAATAATTACATTAAAAAATATGACATTAACTATTTAAGGTATGACAATAACTCTACTTCTGTAAAATGTGATGGATTAAATTATATAAATGCAAAAATGAATAGAAGTTCACCCAATATCATATTAAGGATTCTCATTTTTTCCTTTTTTTTTCTTTTTTTGGGTGAAGATGTTAAAGATTAGTTAGAACTATATTTAAAGACCCTCAAGACAGATAATTTTCCAAATTTCCCTAAAATGAACCAAATAGACTTTCAATTTTCCCAAATTTAAGTCAATTGATATAATCAACAAAACTATCTAACCAAACAATGAGCCAAGTAAACAGCATGTATCTACAGCTAATTATATCACATGCAACACTTAAAATCTCACAAGTGACAATTGAAGTAAAGTCAACTCTTTTAAGCCGAAGGAAAGGAAGAATCCCTTTGTTGGGCAAGCCCAAAACTTACCAATAATTGTTTAATATTCAATGAATGAAATCATACGGTACTGGTCCCAATGTTCATCACATCAAAAAAACATTTCAACCAAGTCAAGATAAATATATTAACAAAGTGACCTAATCCCAGATCAACACTAACAGCCTACAATTGCAACGTTAAAGGTTAATGCCGTTTCTTAAAACCTTAAACCTTAAGTAAGCTTCCCCAAAAAGAACTAAAAAACTCAGGCTCAGGCAAAGAGCACATAGCTTTTCAATTTGTCTTTAGAAAGATGTTTGTATCTCTCATTAACAAGCCTCTCCCTGGTCCAATTTGCACTGACATTTATTTAAGTTATCTAGATTGAAAAGAAAATTTTTAATGGGATTTCATTGAGAAAAATTTAGTAGGAAATTTGAAAAAATTAAATAAATAAAGAGGAAGAAAATACGTTTTTATGAAAAGAAGATTGACATAACATTAAAATATGTCAAATGTAAATAAAAAACCCGTTAATTTTAGTCCAAAAGTTGAAGAATTAAAGATTACCCTTTTCACACTAGCTTATGGAGATGAGCGTAGACGATACACTGTTTACCAGATACAATATTGAGGATATTGGTCCATAATACTACTGGAAGCATAAACTCAAGATTGATCATTCTACAATTTTCCTTAAAAGCATCATTATGATTATTATTCAATGCAAGCACTGCCAAATCCAACTTAAAGGGTGTTTTGCAAAACTTAAAAATTAATTACTTAAAAAAAAACAAATTTTTAGTCTCATAAATTTGAAATTTGGTTATAGGAAAATTCAAAAATTATTTAAACTTAAAATATCTTTAAAAAAAAGAAGTAAGATTGAACAAAAAAAGAAAAATTTGCTTTCAAAAATTTGTTTTAAGTTTTGCTGAACACCCTCTTAATTAGTTGAGAACATAACAAAAACAGAAACCAACAAGATTAAACACAACCATGTCACAACAGGAGATATAGAAGGAAAGAGGGGAAAGGAAAAGAAACAGAGGAGACACCTTCTGTATTGCAGGTAACTCTCAAAACTAATTCCCTCACTAAAAACAACCATAAAAGCACAGATATTACTCGCTCCATTTAAACAACTTTAGACTCTTCAATAACCTTTCATTCCAAACTCTATAACAGAAATCATGTAGCCATCAAAGTTCTTGAGAGATGACCAAGAAAAAAAAAAACCAATCCATATTAGTTGACAAATAAAATCGTTCCCTATATATATTTTCTATGAAAATTTATAACTTGTATTGGGGTTTGAATTGTTACATGAAAAGGAAAGAGGAAAGTGCCCAGCATTGAGAAGTGCAAAGGGGAAGAAGCAAGCGGGTCAAAAACGCACCCACGGGGCCCCTTCATGGGCCCTCATGCGGGGGAACAATACTCTGTTGCGGACTTTCGTAAAAGTTGTTGGGATATTAGTTGGCCAATCACGATCGACGGATGGATCAATCTTTTCCCTTTGGAAAGAGGGTATTGGGTATTTATTTATTTATTTTTTTATTTTTTTATATTTAGTGTAAGTGTTTTTGAGTAAATAATTAATTTTTCATTAATAGATTAAATTAATTATGCATATTAGTATATTTATAACATGTTTAGATAGTAAATATATGGAGAAAATGGAAAGAGAGAAGTAGATTTTTTTTACTAATCAAATTATAATATTTAAAAAATATTATAATATAATTAATTAAAAAAATTTTCTCCTTTTTTTAATTCTCTCAATCAAAGTATACTGTTAAATAAATAAAATTTTTAAGATATTAGTCTTAAAATTTAAACTTTTGATATGTCTATAAAATAATATTTGCTTAACAATAAATCCAATTCTTTAAATTTTTTGTATTTGTAAATAATTCGAATATCAATTTCATCTAATTTTTTTTTTGAAAAACTTAATAGTTGTGCAATTAATTTTAATAAAATTATTATAAGAAATTATTTTATTAAAAAAATTTAGTAAATTTATAGAACAAAATTACATTTTTAATATATAGTTTGCTCTATAAATATAAAGAAAAAATACATATCAGTTCG